TATCTATCTATCTATCTATCTATCTATCTATCTATCTATCTATCTATCTATCTATCTATCTATCTATCTATCTATCTAAGAGGTATGGCTCCATCAGAGCTACCTTAACAAGGTGCAAATAACATCATTAGCAAGCTGCCTACAGTATTAGCAATTTCTTCCCCACTCTCTGCTGATGCTTCACTCATATTTTTTTTCACTATTGAATTTGCTTTAGCCGACCACGCAGGAGTCAGCAGAGAGGGGAGGAAATCGGCAGTCTGCCATGTTTGCAGCTTGTTAAGGTAAATCTGCAATGGCTATCCAGATTTCTAAGAAGTATGGTGGCTGGTCTTTGACTGTAATAAAGTTTCATCTATCTATCTATCTATCTATCTATCTATCTATCTATCTATCTATCTATCTATCTATCTATCTATCTATCTATCTATCTATCTATCTATCAGGTATGGCTCCATCAGAGCTACCTTAACAAGGTGCAAAGAACATCCTTAGCAAGCTGCCTATTAGCAATTTCTTCCCCACCCTCTGCTGATGCTTCACTCATATTTTTTTTCTTTCAGTCTACAGCTGCCCTAGCACACAAACACATGCACTAAACCCTTTTCTAAAAATGGTTTCAGACGAGTGATGCTTGGCTGGCGGGAACTGACAACCTTGCCAGTGCCCTTTTGTTTCTTTTCTGCCTAACTTGAACTAGGAAGCTGGGAGAACCAGCTTCTGGTTGCCATTCAGCTTGATTCAGGTATTGATCACACAATCAAATTGCCTGAATCAATGTGAATTCATTCATTTTGGAAGAAAAAAAGAAGTATAAGCTCCAGCGGTGGAGAAAAAAGTGAGGATTAGGGGCAAAAAACTCCAGGGTGATTCACACTGACCTTTTACTTTGGAAAATAATACAAATCAGATCATTCCATTCCCAGATTATTTGTCTATGTGGTCACCCCTTTGGATGACAGATGTTAAAGGGTAGTTGTGTAGCTGCTTTCAGCACAGATGTTTTATTTGCCATATGGCCTACTTCATGGTCCCAAAAATAGACTGCTATCCTCAGATATGGTGGAAGACTCTATCTTCTCATCAAGGCTGAAGTAATGTATCAAGCAACCTAGGTGACTTGCATATTTAGTGAATGTGGGTAGTGGGGAGAGCATCATGCAATTTGCCTTAAGCAGCACAATGTCTTTGGTACCACCTGTATAAGAATCATGAATGTTCCATTTTGCAGAAGAAAGGAAAGTCACACATGGGATTTCACTCACCTAATAAAATGAATACGAAGACATCCACTCTGTACAGCTGATCGAATTTGGCTATGAGAAGTCAAATGAGGACACCTGCGAGAGAGATCAAATGAGGGCAATATACATGAATAAGTGAACATTCTTGCCAGGAGTAATTAACTTTGGCCTTTATTCACAGACATTTCTGTTTTGCTTTTTGGCTCTAAAAAGTCCCCCAAATTACTGAGATTATTTTGAGCATTGCTGAAATCATGCAAGCTCTAGATTTAAGATGGTACATGTATGTATGTTTTAAAAACACTGAAGAGGGAAGCACCCATATTCTGCTGTCCCATCCCCCCCAGCATCATGTTTGGAAAGGTCAGCCCACAGCAAATTCGATAAAATGGCCCCCCTCCCAGCATCATGTTTGGAAAGGGTACAGGTCAGCCCACAGCAAATTCGATAAAATGAAACAAGTAGCTTCCTTTTGGTTATGAAAGCATTTTGCTATCCTAGCAGACTGGTGCATGCAGCTGTACTGAATTTTGGCATCTAGATAAATTTGTTCTGCCCAGATCCCGGGCAAATTTTGGCAAAGAAACCTTTAGACATTTTCCAGCACAACTCTCTTGCGGTCCTGTCAAGTGGCCTTCAGTTTGATTTCAGCATCTGAAAATATATGATAGCTGGTTCTAATTCTCTGCCACAAATACTACTTGCTAGGCACTCTCCTGCACAGCTTTCCGAGAAACACCACTATCTCCCCCTTCCCCCACCTCTAAGGTATGCCAGTTTCGACTGAACTGCAGCCAGAAAAAGAGCCATATGGTATTTTAAACGTGCTAGTTGATGACAGAAGGGCTTTGTTGTTGCACTGCTTTTTTTTGTTCTGGTTTTAGAACTTGATGTTCTTGTTCTATTAACAGGTAGCAAAGGGGAAAAGAGCATTTGTTTCATGTTGCACTTTAATCTTGTTCTTTTCTGCCTGTTAAGAAAATGAATCAAATCCTTTCTGCTGGTTCCAAATGCGAGTCGGCGAAGATTTTCGTATGAAGGGGTGCGTGCGGAAATATTTATATTTCGATGCTTCTCAGTTTTACTTGTTTGCTTGCTTCTTTTACTGTGATGGCCAGTCCTTGTTCAGCAGCTGGACCAGCAAGTGCCTTGAACAAGGCAAACCCAAGTGCAGCTCTAGCCGCAGGGCTTGGCGTTGGTCAAGAGTTACAAGGCTGATCTGTCTATCTTCGTGCATTGCAGAGCTTCAGCGACCAGGCATCCAGGTTCTGCTCTTCTGCAAATAGTGACGAGGAACAAAACTATAGATAAGGAAACAGGAAAGTTGCAACCTGTCACAAGTTGTTGAACTTGTGATTCCTGTCATGCCTGACCATCAGCTGTTCTCCTTAGGACAACTGATGCGAATTGGTTAAAAAAACTCATCTGAAGGGCTATAGGTTCCTCGCTGCTGCCTTAGTAAGCTAGTCCTGAATCACCAGCTCCCTACTAGAAATCTTTATGATTTTGCTATATGCCCAGAGTGGGAAAAAAATTAATAAGAGAACACAAAAGGGTGTCTAATTGTAGATTGCCTACACCCTTGGTTGTTTTATCTTAAGCTGTGGAAAGCTGGGCCTTGCTAGCAGATATGCATGAACATATGCTAGGTCCCCAGATCTGTACAGAATTTAAGAGTATAGCATTTAAATCTTTGCTTTCAGGTCTGAATACTCAACAGTTTGATATGAATCCACAGCACCTAGGAATAGCATGGGGCTGTAGCCATCATGCTAGGAAACAAGTTCATGCATTATGCAACCTAGGCCCCTTTAGGTAAGAGGTGCGTAGGAGGTTCTACTGCCCTGCAGGGCAAAAGAGAATGGCCAGTCCCCTGGTATTAATTCCAGTCGCAGCTGTGGTTGGCTCAAAACATTTTGTTGCACAAAGTGTAGTATAAGATGTCCCTTTCCCAGTCAGTGTACAAAAGCTAAATGGCCTGCTACCGGCCATTGGGGAAGTCCTCCACAGCAACTGACACACCAGACCTGTTTAGGGGGATATAGACAACTGGTGTGGTATATCTTGGCTATGACCTCCACCGAAAGGAAACAGCTAGGGAGTTCAGAAGCAGCAGTCAGGAGGCTGCCCCCCCCATCTGGTGCCTGGGACAATTTCCATGCTTTACCTAGTAGGAGTGCCAATGATCCTGTTTCCCCTAATCAATGGATTAATAGGGCTGCTATTTATCTGAACACAGGTCACATTATATATTGCCTACTCCAAGGAAAGGACAGTTAGAATTGGAGCTTAAAGACTCATTCCCATATATTTTGCATCATATTATTAGTTTGTCCAAGTGAGTCAACTAAGACCAATTTCCATTAATTTCCAAAATATATTTTGCCAAACAATGGGTTCTCTCCGTATAGTCCAGAGTCCTCATGGTGTTTGTGTAAGGTCTGCCTAACTTTCTGCAGCTAATTGACGAGGCTCTGGGGAACATCTAGATCAGGGGTCTCAAACATGTGGCCTGGGAGCCATTTGCAGCCCACCGGATGATAGTTTGTGGCCCCTGCCTTGCCTGCCCTGAAGCACCCACATGTCCTCTACTGTCAAGAGTCAAAAAAAAGCCTTGCCTCGCTCGCCATCACTCTCCCAAGAAAGCTCCTCTTACACTCTCCATCCGGAACTGCAGCCTGCCAGCCAGCCCTGGGGTTAGTGGAACATTCATTGTCGTTTAGTCGTTTAGTCGTGTATGATAGTTTGTGGCCCCTGCCTTGCCTGCCCTGAAGCACCCACATGTCCTCTACTGTCAAGAGTCAAAAAAAAGCCTTGCCTCGCTCGCCATCACTCTCCCAAGAAAGCTCCTCTTACACTCTCCATCCGGAACTGCAGCCTGCCAGCCAGCCCTGGGGTTAGTGGAACATTCATTGTCGTTTAGTCGTTTAGTCGTGTCCCCATGGACGTCTGTCAGCCAGCTGGCAGGCTGCAGTTCTGGATGGAGGGTGCAAGAGGTGCTGTCTTGGGGGAGAGCCGGCGAGCAAGACGTGCTGCCGGCCCTTTTCCCCTGAGCGCCTGAGCTGCCACCGAGTGATGCCTGAGAGCGGAGCTCGCTCCCAGCCTGTCCTCGAAGAGCGTCTCCAACAGCTCCGCCAGCAGCTGCTGCTGCCACCACCTATTCCAGGGAAGCAGCCCTCTGGCTCTCTTTCTCTCTCAGCAACCCCAGCACCAGCCCGGCCAGTGGCTGGCCACCTCAGTGCCCAGTGGTGCTTCCTCCTCCTCCTCCTCATCCTGCTTCAGCCGCCTCAGCTCTGGAGGCTGTCTGGACTCGCCTTGCAAAGTTTGCTCCCCTGTCGTGGTGGGGGTAGCTGCTGCTGCTGAGTGCGCCTTTTTTGAGGGGGGCCTTCAGAAGAAGGTTGCCAGACCTCCGTGTGTGAGAGAGTGTGTTTGTGTGCGTGTGCACATCTGTGGGGGCCCCACCCCATTCTGTTTAATTTCACAGGTACCAATGGGGGCTTTTCTTCTTTGGCAAGGCAATTCTGTGAGGGTTTTTTTTAAAAAATAATGCCATGCCCTCCTCCCCCCGCTACGCGGTCACCGGCGCTCCCTCCCTTCTCCGCTTCTTCGTCCTGCTGCTGCTGCTGGTGGTAGTGAAAAAAGAGCCAGAGAGGGTCATGGCTGGTGACGAGGGCTTGCGCGCCCCTCCTCCTCCTCCTCGGAGCCCCAGCCTACTGGGCAGCTTCCTCAGGCTCTTGCTCTGCTTGGCGGAAAATCTGATGCAGCCCAGCCTCATCCAGACTCTACCTCCAGCGGCCCCCAGGTAAATTGAGTTTGAGACCCCTGATCTAGATTGCATAATTGGTTGCACAACCAGAGACATGACTGAGATGTGCCTCAGCACTTTATCAGTTAACCACAGGAACATTACATGTACCCCAAAAGGATTCTGGACATAGGGAGTTAAGAAATGAACTTGGATTGCATGCAGTGTTTGCCCTACCATCGGAGAGAATGAAATAGCAACCTTGGACTGCAGGGGTCAGGTGTTATAAAAGGATGGCAAATTACTAGTTATCCTTCTCCCTTGAATTCCATGGCTGCAAGCAGCACAGTTTTGGTTATACATTTTTATTTTTTTTAATAAATACTCCAGGTGGATTGCGTTTAGTTGGAACTCTCCACTATGACCTGTCCGTCTTGGGTGTCCCTGCACGGCATAGCCCATAGTTTCTCTGAATTACTCAAGCTCCTTCGCCACAACAAGGCAGCAATCCATGAAGGGGTTTCCAGGTTTAATATACCGCTATTTAGCAATTAAGGGCCCTTTCACAGGTGTCCTCTGTGTGTAGGCATGAGTCCTAAGCTTATGCCTTCGAGAATACCTATGCATCCTGTCTAGGAATGTGAAATCCCTCATTCTTGGCTTCACCCTGTTTGTGTGACTCCCACCTTCATTTTCCTCCCATTCTTGTTTTGTATCAGCTCACAAAATAAATATGGTTGAGCATCTTAGATATTAACATTTTAGTCATTTGCATTTTTAAATGGTTATATCGTTCAGTGCACTTTTCATGTCTCTGAAATGCCCCAGCCGCAAATGTGCAGATCCTTGAGGCAAGTCATGTTTCATCACACAGTGAGCCTCAGGAGCTGTGAAAAGACTGCTTTGTCAAGTGTCAAATCCAATAACATTCTTTTTCGTCCCTTGCCCTGACTCACCAGAAACACCAGATTTAATGAGGACTGGGGCAAATGCTTGTGAGAATAAGGCCTCGCCTGTACAAGCCACTCAATTACTGCGGATATAAAGGATGTATTGTAGAGGGTGCTAATACTTGGAAAGTCTGGACAGCTGCTCAGGCCATATACCGTATTTTTCGCACCATAAGACGCACTTTTTTCCCACAAAACAGGGGGTGGAAAGTCTGTGCGTCTTATGGAGCGAAAAATACGGTATTTGAAGGGTACCCTGAGAAAGCCCATATCTATTGTGGCTTTCCTGCTGCCTGGTTGAGACATCACAGGAAAACAGGGAGAGTGGATTTAGGATGCAGAGGAAAGCAAATGACAGTTTCCTCGTACTAAGAGAAGAGAGGGCGCCTTCCCTGCAAAGAACATACATATTCTTGTGCTGGGAATCACAAAAGGCAGTCTGAAGACCAGGGTTGGTGATACCTTTATCAGTCCACTAAAATCTGATACAGAGAGAATAGTTTTTGACTTTTCACAACTCTTGGTCAAGCTGGGCATTAAGAACTGGATCAGCACAGAAAAAACATTAGTCAGATGTGCAGTCTGATTCCTTGTTTAGAGAAAGCTCTAAAATGGGAACCTCAGGATTTACTCATAAAACTTATTTCTGGCTAGTCTCTGTGAAAAGCCAAATGGGGAGCTTACTGGTGTCTCACCTGAAATGAATATCTGCCACCACCATACCCTCTTTCACTCATTCAAGCTTGTCCTTTCCAATGGGGATTCTGTTGTCAAGTCTGTCCCCTTCCCTGGATCTGGGAGACAAAATAAACTTCAGAAAGAATTCAAAGCCTAGTGGCTTTTCCCCCTCTTCTTAACTGGTGAAGTTTCTGGTGTGTGAATCAAGCAGAAGGCAATAGACAGGCTGGATTATTTCTAAGAAAGAACTAAACTTTATTATATCTTAAGAGAAAAAAAGTGCTACATATCCAAAATTAATGCAAAGTACAAAAACCATAGAAATAGACAATTGTTGGTCTTGGCAAACAGAACCCAGGCTTCTCTTTGCAAGTTGTATATGTGGTGAGAGAGGATAGGCAAGCACTTTCCTCCCATGCCCAGAGAAGATAATACTGCTGAGAAATAAGCCCCAGTGTAACAGCTTTGTAGTCTCCGAACCAGAATTCTGCTCCATGTTCCAAGGTTGCAAAGCAGTGCTCACTGCCTGGGTTTAAAGTAGTCTCTTGTCACTGATCACTGACTGGTAGAAGCTGTAAGCCAGATAAGGAACACCTGTAGGCTGTTATCACCCATACAGGATGAATGGTCCTCCTATCCCTGAGAGATGGTACATGTCTGAGGTATGTATCAACCAATCTTCAAAGCAAGAGATGATGTGAAAAGGTGCTTGGCTACATTTCTTTCATTAGCTATAAGAAAATGTCAGGTTGACCTGAATCCAATGTTCACTGCTGCTGCTCTCTTGAATTAATGTGATGTGACAGAAAGGTGCCACTCAAATAAGAGTCATCTCACCCCGCTGCAACTTGAATCAGCCTTCAAGCTTTTAATTTCTATTTTCTTCTCATTCTTGAAGGGGCACATTTTCCTTTGCCCAAGTTACATATTTCTGCGTTTTCATACAGATTTAGTTCATTTGGATATAATATCTCCAAAGATGCTTCATTCTTCTTTCATCTCCTATTGGGAAATAGACTCATCAGGTCGAGTCACATATTTGACACATGTGAAACAGAGCAACAGAATGAGTCCTGAATTGGAGGGAGGGGTGAAAGGGGCTCATTATTACTTCTAGCCCTGATTGCTCCCATCAGACAAGTGCCTCTAAAAGCTTTGAACCCAACACCTTGGAATTAATTACTTGAGCTTCCACTAATGAATAGCAGAGAAAATATAGCACATACCCTGAGAATTATTACCATAATACAATTAACCTCTTCTACCATTTCTTCCAGGATACTTCAGAAGAGAAGCGATCTTACTGTTTCAGTCAGGTGATCACATGATAAAACTATTATTGGATCAGCCTCTCAGACTGTAGGTAAGGTACTGCTTGATTCACCTCCATATAATATTTCCCATATGGTGAGGGAGGAATCTGATGTGGAGAAGCACGGATTCCAGCTTAAACCTTCATTTTACATGTTAATTTTCTATGTGTATGGATTGTTCCCATTTTCATTGGGATAACATAGATCTCACTATTTATTTGTTATTCTGTGGTATTACAAAGTTAACAGACATACTGTAATCCACTGTGATGAGGCCAAGGAGGGCACTCTGCTTGGGCAGACCCTCACACTTTTCATGGTGGAGTCCAGGAGGACCTCACAGCCCCAGAGATTAAAAGGAAGCAAAGATGCAGAGGTAAGATTGATCACATGCTTTGATGGGCACTGATTCTTAACATTCATTAAAGTGGTGACATTTAACCATCTCTTACCAAATAATTTACCAACAGCTTAACATTCAGAATGCTCACTTCCCAGGCTTAAAATGACTTATTAAACAACTTACTTTGCTTTGTATCTCTGATAATTGAACAAAAGAAGTTGTGGTTGAATAGGACCCATGGACCAGACAGGTCCCCCACTCCAGCTGTCCTTTCTTATTATCTAGGTAACACTAAACATTACAGAAAGCACATAATTAAAAGAAGGAATTCTACTGAAAGTATTTAGCTGTCAGGAGGATCTTTTCACTCTTCCTGCAGTTTGGAAATTGATTTGCTCGGTTTTGTAGTTGGTCATTGGAAGATGAGTACAGGCTTCATTTGCAAGTCTGAATGTCTGCCCATAAAAGTGTGCCAAAATCACAGATATGGAACATTAACATGGTTTCACTTTCTGATTATCTTTTACATGTTACATGTAATTTGGCCTTTCGCCCACTTGCGCTGGGTGGAGAGGAGAGGATTTAAAGTGGGTCTTATAACATGTTCTCTTTGTTCATTGACGCCTTTGATAAAATGTAGTGACATTTATCTGAGAACAATATTCAAATTAATGAATGGTGACAGAGATGCCAAGGGTGAACTGACAGTAGTTTCCAGTATTAATGTGTTAGCTTTCATTTCTGTTGCAATTACTATACTGTTGACCTTGCTGCTGAGGAAGCATATGACTTCAATATGGACACCAGCTCTGCTGTAGTAGCAATCAACACAGTGAACAGTAGGATCAGGGTGCCCATAGACTTTACTACCAGGTTTAGTCTACCATTAAATACTGTATAGTGATGTCGATGTTTCATGTGGCAGATGCTAGGAGGAGGCAGCAAGGTACTGGAGGAAACTGTGTGTTAAACAGCTTATGCTGCATTCTCTAAGCTAACCTGCCACTATCAGAAATAGTGAAGAATGTCACCTCATCAACAGTGTTGACAAAAGATTCAGCCGCCGGTCCATTTGTGTTTTCTGTTTGTGGATGAAACAAAAGGGAGCTCCCATCTTGTCTTCCCCATCAAGCAGCAAAAGGACTGACTTAGCACTGCTCATTCTGTTTATTGAACTTACCTACTGAACTTTATATTTCAGAAGCTCTGTTCCAAAATATTAGCTTTGTTGTTGTTGTTGTTGTTGTTGTTGTTGTTGTTGTTGTTGTTGTTGTTGTTGTTGTTGTTAATTTGATTTATATACTACCCATCTGGCTGCCAAGGCCACTCTGGGCAGTTTACAACAACTAAAGAAGAACATTAGAATAACGAAATGTAACAAATATCAATAAATTAAAAAGTGCAAACAAAATACTGTACCATAAAATACAGTGAGATACATAGTGGGATACAATACAATTCAATAAATAGCATAAAAACAGCTTTAACAAGATAAATAATCAATGGTGGCTTAGTTCTCACCAAGCTAATGACCTTGTGTTTGGACTGAACCACATTAGAGTCAAGGTAAAGGCTCACATGATTGAATGCCTCTTCAGATATGTAACAATGCATTAAAAAAACCGACCGTATTTTTCCATGTATAAGACGCCTCCATGGATAAGACACCCCCACTTTTCTAATCCAAAATTAAGAAATCTAAGTGGGGCTTAGCAAGTGTAGGGGGAAAGGGATCAAAGCGCTGCAGGATCACTTTGATCCCTGCTTTCCCTTCCACTTGTTTTTGTTCTCTCCTCACCTTACTTCCATGTATAAGACAACCCTCAATTTTTAGTTTAAAGTATAGTCTTCCACACGGAAAAATATGGTAAATGCTAAGGAGAGGTAATGTTGCTTTCTCAATATTCTAGTTCTTTATCTTTTTCTCATTAAGAAATATTCAAATATGCAGTGTAAAGTTGTACAGTCTGAACATAGGTCTACCACTCACAGAGAAGGTCATAGTCACCAGCAAAAAGCGACCAACTTAAAAAAAGGATTAATCTTTATAAATTAATGTATTATCAAAGGCATTCACGGACAGGATCCAATTGTTGTAGTTTGTTTGGGCTGTTTGGCCGTGTTCTGACGGTTGTTCTTCCTAACGTTTTCCAGTCTCTGTGTTTCACCACAGAGACTGGCAAAACATTAGGAAGAACAACCTTCAGAACATGGCCAAACAGCCCAAAAAACTACAACAACCATTTATAAATTAAATTAAATTTCTGTCAATCGTAGAGCAAAATCTGTCTCCAATAAAAATGCAGTGATTTTTACATGAATACTTTAAACATGATCTCCTTTAATCAGATACTCTTGTTGCAAACATCAATCATACATTTTATTAAAAATGGATTTTGCATTACATGTGGTAATTTATTATAATCAGTATGAACAGCACAAAGATATGTCCTCCATTGTTGTGGAGATAGACTTGCCCCAAAAACTGTATAGAGCTCAGGTATATTTTCTCCAAATGAGAAAAACACTGTTCTGATAATTATTCAGTAATTATATACTAAGTATTGTAAATGAAATGTATGCTTTAAAATCAGTATTATATGTATTATTTGAGAAAACCTAAAACTGAACCAGGTGTCAGTAACAAACATGATACTACACAACCTGATCAAAATCTACTTGCTAGCTCCAACTGGAGTAGGCCCCTTGAACAGTGAGGCAATGTTTATATAAAAATGACTGATTCAGTAGGTCTACTCAAAGTGGGAAAGCCAACTCGATTCAGGTCATTTTATTTGGCCTTGGATTTTCATGGTAGAGATGAATGATACAATTATAGGCCAAGCTGGGCATGATTGCAGGCCCTTCTCCCACTTCAGACTGATTTCACCATTCAGAATTCATTTGTTTAAAATATTTTTAGACAGACAGACAGACAGACAGACAGACAGACAGACAGACAGACAGACAGACAGACAGACAGACAGACAGACAGACAGACAGACAGACAGACAGACAGACAGACAGACAGACAGACAGACAGACAGACAGACAGACAGACAGACAGACAGACAGACAGACAGACAGACAGACAGACAGACAGACAGACAGACAGACAGACAGACAGACAGACAGACAGACAGACAGACAGACAGACAGACAGACAGACAGACAGACAGACAGACAGACAGACAGACAGACAGACAGACAGACAGACAGACAGACAGACAGACAGACAGGCTGACAGGGGCAAAATGTCTCTGCTGGTCCTTCTCGATATCTCAGCCACCTTTGATACCTTCAGCAACAGTATTCTCCTGGGAAGGCTCACGATGAGCACTTCCTGGGGGCTGTTCAGCAATAGATGCTGGAGAATGGACTGAGGCTGAATCCGGGCAAGATGGAAGTCCTTCGGGTGGGTGCTCCAGACTTCAGTGGTCTGGGAA